AGAGGGCGGGAGAGGTGAAATCTGCCGAAGTTTCCGCAAAAAAAGTTCGTCGCGCGACTCTCCTCGCGCGATTTACGAGCCAACAGCGAGCAGCGGCAATAGCAGCGTGTACACAAAGAAGAGAAAAAGGTGCCTGCAGGAGCAGAAACGAACAGACGCTGTCTGAGAAACTCTCCTCTCTCTTTCTCTTCATCGTCGCACGGAAGACAACAAGGAGAAAATTACTCCGCCGGTCGTGTTGTGGGAAAAGTAATTAATGCATTCGCCGCGCGCGCGCGCGAGAGAGAAAGAGAGACAGAGAGAGAGAGAGAGAAGGACAATGGGGGAAGCGGAAAGGGGGGAGGGGGGCAGGGATCGAGAAAGCCGAGTGTGCCGGGTATCGTGCCGTGGGAAGTTTGCTAATTTCGCGCACTCGACAGTGCGTAATCAAACGAAACCGGTATCGATCGCGGCGCAATCCCTACGAGCTCAAAACGCTAAATAATTCATCGCGATCGTCATTTTCGACAACGAGACAGCGGAATCCCCAGCGTTCCTATTCTACAGTGGTTAGGAGGGATGGTCCGAGCTTTACTCTCTACCTCCTCACCGATGATTCCATAACATAATCGGTGATGCCTCCTCATCGAGTGGGGGGAAGGGGAGGGGCAGGGAGCAAAATGTTCCGCGCGAACAAGCCGAAACAAGAATCTGGTGCCGGAGGCTGAGCGCGGGGGATATACCGAGAGGGATGAGGAAGAGAGGGAGGCACAGGGAACCTACAGGTATTACAGCTGGGATTTCGATGCGAGCGGCTAAGTGAAATAGTTGAGTTAATTACGACGTCGTTCTAATCGAGTTCTTTACGCTATTAATTGTAGTATAATACGAAGGATATCATGCGCGAATGAAATCTCTCTCTCTCTCTCTCTCTCTCTCTCTCTCTCTCTCTCTCTCTTTTTTCTCTCTCAAGGGAGACGATATTATATAATGCTGAATTTGCAATGCCGCGCGGGCCGTTGTTTTCGAACAGCGCAGAACCGACTTTCTTAAGTTTAACACAAGTAAATCCGAATAAATGCCGGAGCGGGATGGACGAAGGAAGAGGAAGGAAAGAGGAAGAAGACAGTAGTCGAATCGTAGAATTTTCGTAAAATTCAAACTTGCACCTCGGCAGGTAAGGCTCGCATAAGTTTCCAATTAATTCGTAGCAGTTTCGTAAACGCGCGATGAAATTTTCGAAGATGATTTTCGAGACATATCTACCGACTTCTACGGAAGAGAGAAAGGGAATGGAGAGAAGAGAGGGGAGAAGAGGCGCGGGTCTCTTAATAATCCCAAATAGCTCGCATTTCGCTGTAAATTAAGTCACAAAGGATTCCGCCCCCCCCCCTTTTACCCATTAATTCTGGACTCATTATAATTATTGCTCCGAAAGCGTCTAAAGGCAAGCGTGATCGTTACGCCGCGCAAGAATAATAAACCGGAGGATAATCGCGAATAAATAAGCAATTAATTATGCGACCGGTGATGATGGATTCGCTTACCGGACGGTACCGCAGGTGTCGTTCCGCCGCTACGCCGATCCTTTGGCGCCGCGCCGTGTGGTTTTCCGCCGGGATTGTACCGTTTTTCAACTTCAATCGCGGTGATCCACTCCTGGACATCGAACGCCGGAAAAAATCGCGGCGAGCCCCGAAACGCGCGCGCGACGATTAATCCGTTACAACGATCGTCCCGCCGGCTTTCGCGGCATTTTTTCCTTTTTTTTTGGTACACACGACGCACTTTCGCCCGGTGAAAAATGCGAAAAACGCGGAGCGGGCCTCGTCCCGACTTCCACCCGACGCGATCGGCACAAAACTAATATGGCGCGACGCGGTCGCCCACGTTATTGGCTGATTTGAATATTTCGAACTAATTCAATCTTCCCTTCATCTCCTCCGCGAAACTCGACGCGGAACTAACTTTGCAGTTGCAAAAATATAAAAACAATGTTTAAATTCATAAATATGAAATATTTTATACGAGAGATTAACGCTTTGTGTATTTTATGTCCTATTCATAAATTCCTTTTAATTTTTAATTTATGAATGTGACATAAAATATGAAGCATTGATCCGTTATCATTATGTTTGACAAATAGTTTATGTTTTTGTAGAGTAGATAACAACCGAAAGAAAAATTTCAAGAGAAATTTCTCTATTATACAATTAATAAATATTTTTATTAATATATTGTATTAAACAGTCCAATCAATTACCTCGAAAGCTAAAATACTTTTATCTACCAATTTCAGTTTAGATATTTTAGATATTTTATTGGACTGGTCAAAATGAGATAGCCTACATATCACGTAATTTTAATATTTATATAGATATAATATATAATTCCCGGATGAAGAATCATCTATCTATTTTTTACAGAAAATTCCTCCAAAGTTGAACAAAATATAAAATTACGAAAAGAAATCTTTTATCTCTCTTCTACGTTAAATAAATATTCTTTTTGTAGAATAATAATCTAATCGCGCGAGCGGATCGGAATCCTGTCGCGTGTGGCGAGGAAAGGAGTCGATGGGGAGGATAACGATGATTAACGGCGACAAAAAGCGACGAAAAGCAAAAGCAGCTCCTCACGATCGCGGGGGAAAAACAGATTACCAAATATGCGAGCAAGAGGAGAAGACACGCAACAGGAGTGCGAGCGCGAAATGGGGCGGGAATAGGTAGGGGAGAATCGTCGGCGCATTTGAGAGTTAAATGGACCATGGACAATATAAACAGGGGCCGCCACCGCGATCGCGGTAGAGAAATGCAAGAGGAGCAAGAGGAGAATTTCGAGCGATACTTTTTATCCCACGTGCCTCACACCACCGATCCACCCTCCCGCGCCCCGCCGTCCTA